TCTAGAAAAGGATCTGAACCATTCCTGATGACTCATTGTTTCCGCTCTACAGTACAGTGAACCAATACAATAATATGCTGTAGAATAAAATCTATAAATTGGAAGCTGCCTGCATTACATATTTAATGTATGACTCATTATAAAGGTAGGTTAAAAAGAAAAAATTCTAATAATGCGGCGCATTACACTAAGCAGTTTATCGTCTTATGATTTCTATTTCTCAGTTTCCTTTTCATATGACCCAAGTGAAATGCCGCCTTCTTGAGGATTAAAAAAAGAAATGTGTTGAGCTCTATTCTCTCCTGTGCTGAAGTGTGATGACGCCCACCGGTTTTGATTTGTTGCTTTAAAGAGTAGCTGCCTGGTGAGGTATTATGTGGGAGGACGGCGTAGGTGTGGGGGTTGTGTTGTATTGTACATGTTCTCTAGGAATGGGAGCTCTTTGTGTGTGTGTTGGAGTGAGTGAGTGAGTGAGGTTTATTCTTTCACAATCCTCCCTCATTATTACCTCTTCTGGTCCCCCCCCTGGGCTGCTGGAATCTCCCTTTATAGAACCAGGGTTATTGTTTTGCAACACGCGCATTTTATATTAACATACACAAATTAAATATGTGGGCGTAATCTTTAAAGATCTGAAACAAGGCAAGGCCCGACTATCAAATTACTGAGCTCACACAAAACACTGAAAAGAGACACACAAGCAGCTCTGTTGGCATGCAGGCTGGGACGAGCTGTGTTGTGCTCGGGCCTTGAGGCTGCAGCATGTGAGTAACAACACAAATGAAGTCCCACTAATAGAGTTTAAGCTTAACACAGTCCTGGAAAATAACTGGTTAAGGCACGCAGCTGGAAGCTCTTCTTAATGATGTCAGCATGTGTGAGTTTGTACACTTTGAGTATTGATGTTGCCGTTTAGCCGACACCATTAGTCGGTCGACAGAAATTGGCAACTATTGTGTTATTAATTGCTTCAGACGTTCAGCGGGGGGGGGGGGGGGGCAAATATTTGCTGCTTCCACTTTCTCAAAAGTGTGGATTTGATGCTCTAGTTTTTGTAATTTATGATGGTGATATTAATATCTTTGGGCTTTCGACTGTTCGGATATATCCTGTTCAATTTTGTGATGTTTTTATTGGGAAACAATTATGTTCAATGATTTTTGTTTTTTTACTTTTTGTTATGGTTGTATGTTTTCATGGCCTTGAGGTCAAGTTGAGACATCTCATTACAAAGAAAAGCCTTGTCCTCGCAAGTGAATCTTGAATGAGATGTGTACTTTAATGTTTGGACAGTGCTGTAGTGAAGAGTACTAAACAAATCAAGTCAAAAATTGCAAACAACATCCACTAGACGCACCGTATATTGGCTGTTGTGTAGCAGTTTTCAGTGCAAATCCAATTGTCTGAAATGTTTTTCATCGTCTCGGTGTCAGACGAGTAGTCGGGTGAAAAAAAAAAAATGAAGTGAGATCCAATTTCATGTTAAAGATGGCAGACCGTTAAAGGGCCAGACGCGTGGTAGCATGGTCACCGGTTTGATTGTCACGAGCTATCGAAAGGCGTCGGTGGTCAGCGGAGGAGTAGAAAGCGTTTCATGTCGTAGTTTGATCATCCTCAGCCCTTTTGACTGATGGAGGAACGGTACACAGCAGCTCTCTGCCGTCTTTGAAGTCTGCCATGTTTGTACCGAGGAGTGTGAAGACTGATAAATGTGTTTTTTTTTTTTTTTTTTGTTTGTTTTTAGAAGAAGCAGCCAACAGACTGTGTGTGTGTGTGTGTGTGTGTGTGTGTGTGTGTGTGTGTGTGTGTGTGTGTGTGTGTGTGTGTGTGTGTGTGTGTGTGTGTGTGTGTGTGTGTGTGTGTGTGTGTGTGTGTGTGTGTGTGTGTGTGTGTGTGTGTGTGTGTGTGTGTGTGTGTGCGCGCGCGGTGAATTGTAATGAAGCTGAGAAAAATAAAGGAATCTCGATTCAGACCAACTGTTTTTGATGAGTTAGTCATCGGTGGCTACCGGAGAGACAGAACGTCTTGTACCTGCAGCTCATCAAAGGCTTTGCACCAGTTCTGCTACTCGAACTACTCTGCTTCAGTTTGGCAAATGTAATGCTTTTTCATGCACATGCACATTCTGTACCTTTGTAGAATATCAGCTCTTTAGAAGCTTATTTCCTGCAAGACGTCAATTTAAAAATGTATCGCTGTAAAACTTATTAACATTATCTTCTCAATGTTTGAATAAATAATAATTCCAAACGCCTTATCATCTGATAATTATTTGGTAATAGTTTCATCTAGTAACTGTTAAACATTTACTACCTTTCGTTGTCTTAAATGACGAATGACAACACTCAATTGATTGACACTTGAAGGTTTTAGGAAATGATGATTGCGATGATGTAGATTAATTGGAAAAATACTGCATGCCATGACGATCATTATTTGCAGCCGTTTACCAACATGGCAACTGATAGTCTGACTCCAGTATGGACGGTACAATTCCCAAAAGGGCAGATTTTTCCTTTTGTGAAGTAAGAATTGTAGCACAACAGAATCATTTTGATGTCATTGTAAGCACCCAAAGTTGCTGTTTGCTGGATGTGTTATTGATATTTTCAGATAACCAGCAATGTTGTGTCATATTCATATATTCCACGGATAAATGTAAAGTCTCTTTTATGGTGACGCTCTGGAGAATGGTCTTCTACTCTCATAGATGGTGGGTCTGTGGAGCCCAAGGTCTTCTGGCTAGAAAGGGGCTTTTTTTCTTTTTAAGGACTAGAGAGCCTGAAGCTCCTCTCCATCCCCTCCCCCTGGAAACAAAGGGAGTTGTGTACAGACATTCCCACTCATCACATGTATTTCTGCCTTCCTCTGTTGCTCACAAACCTTCATTAGACTCATTGTGGTGCCCCTCTTGTTCGCACCCATTCACTTTTCGTCACATTTGCCTACACACACACACACACACACACACACACACACTGTTTCTCAGGCTGAGATGATGAACACACATGTCTTTCTCTACTCGGGCACAGTAATTGGGTATGTGTTTGCAGCACTAGACCTCGGGGTTAGCTTAGCCACCTGCCCGTGTGTTAATGGCCATTGTTCCCTCCCGCTACACGTTTACATGCACATTACAACTTGACTCACTACCAGATTAAGCTCTTACACGGGGTGCTGTAACTTGGATCTGATGGTTTTGTTGGATAATTGCCTGCTAAAATGACGAGAGGCTATGGATTAATGGGTTAGCAACAACTTTGGGATGGATTGCCATGAATTCTGACATTCATGTCCCCCTCAGGAGGAACTGTACTAGCCTCACTTTGACTCTAGCACAGCCTCACAGAGCTACGAGGATGACTCTAGACTTTCAGTCATCATTACAGATCAACTGTGTTGAATGTTAAAACTTGCACACTGGGCTTGGAAGACACTTGGGGAAAATCAGGGGGCTGCGTTTTTGAGATAATCCAGTGAAGCAGATTTCTTTCTTAATAATAATAGTAATATTTGCCTTTTGTGTTAATCTTGTAATAATCAAACATTTGCAGGTAGAGAGACTGATTTAAGTGAGGTAGAGAAATCTAAAAGAGAGACTGAGAGGAGGGGCAGTGTTGTCCCAGAGGAAGGAATTAAACCATAGGAGATGCATTAGATTAATGAGAATGCTACTCTGTGATGTGCAGCAATAGATTCATCCATTCCAATGGCAAATTCCTTTGTCATGAGATGGGAATTTTGGCAATTGACATATTACCACAAACACGCTCGGGTTCATGTTGTTCATTTTCTGTGTCACGCATACGTGTGTGTTTTTTTTTTTTTTTTTTTAAGGAATTTGTGCTCAAAACGACTCAAAAGCAACTGCATTCATGTTTGTGCTCGCATTGAGTTGCAGAGTGCCTCTCGGCGTTTTGACGTCAGTGTTCCTGGATGGAGCGCTGAAACGCTTCCTTGCCTAATGCGAAGTGTCACTCGGTGCCGTTTGGCATCCCCGCGGTGCTGTGTATGCCCAGGAATTATATGACGGTGATGCTATAATCACCTGAAGGATTGGTTAACTGGCCACCAAGCACAAGCCCAGGATGGATCGGTCCAATCCTCAAATCTACTGGAAAATGATTTGGACATATTATTGATAGTCTGTACATGATGAACGGGTGATGTGCTGTGTGGGGAGAGAGCTTGCCACAACATATTTCATGCATTCTTGTACACAGCACAGAGCCCCACTGAAAACCAGACTGAACCGGTCACTGCCAACACATACAGGCTCGCATCTCTGTCAGAAACAGAAGTACAAATCAACACAAGACGCACATGAACTCAAATAACACGCAGCTCACACACACACACACACACACACACACCTCTTTCCTCTCTTTAATTTATTCCTCAGCTGTTCCGCTTTGTGTTTGTGCGACGCTTCTCTGGCTCTGGCTCATGCTTACTCATAGCTCGGTGCAAGACTCCGGCCTTTTCGTGCTGTATTTTGTTCTCCGTCACTTGCCTACTCACTGGGTGTGTTGTGCTTTTTTTCTTCATTTGGCCGTCTTAAATGTTTGCTTTGCTGCTTGTATTGGATGTTGTGTACGTCACGTCACATATATGCACAATCATACTCATGCCTCTCTTTGTCTCGGACATACACGCGTCATATAGGATAAACATACACGGGACTGAATAAAATATCACCTCAAGACTGTTTTTATCAGCTAGAAACAAGTTATGTACGGACATGGACAACTGATGGTATAAGAGATTTTAAAACGGAAGCAAACACAGCCCATTTCATACACTATTGACATACATTACTTTTAAATCTATACACTCAAACTCACATGAATCACTGTCTCCCCTGCTGCGTCAATAACCATTTGCTGTTGCACTGGCGCTTGCTTTTTTATTTTTTATTTTTTTTTTTTTTAAGCTATTTTATTTATTTTTCCTGTTCTTGTGTTCGTTGTAATCATGACCTCTCGCTGTTTTAATTTCAGATTTGCATATCCACTTCCACTCCTTCCTCATTTGCATACAGCAAGAATGGCGAGCGGGCATCCCACAGACAAATTCAGTTTCATGTATCAACCAGACACGCACAAGAGGTACGGGGCACGCATGCACACACACTCACACACACATGTATACTATTTCCCATGTCCATATGCTCCATGGCCAGGTAAGTTGGCACACTTGAGATATTTTCATCCGCATTGGGGAGGAAGATGGCTTTATGGGAGATGTAGTATAAGTGGCCCTGATACTGGTCACCTTCACCCAAACCATTGCCAGCACCAGAGCTCGCCCCGCCTTGTTAGGTGCAGTAGTCAAAATGAGGTAGATGTGCAACATTTTTGGCAAGATGTATTTAATGCCACACGGTGATGCCAAACCATTATTTTTCAGTGGATCCATGCGTACTCGTGCCCTAAAAGTCTGTTTTTTTTACATACTAATGTTGAGCCTACTTGACGGTGAGACATCACGGGGCTTTATTTCTTCTTCTTTTTTTGTTGCATGCTGGCAAAATCCTTCAGCTGGATGTCGCCGTAAGAATCAGAGTTTGGGGTTTATGTGCGTGATGAGCGTGTGTGTGTGTGCATATGCTTGGTAATCGGAACAATTTTCTTTCCAATTTACACAGCTTACGTCTCTCTCTCTCTCTCCATTTTTCTTCTGTCTTCTCTTATCCCTCCTGCCCTCTCCGCCACACTCTGTTTCTCAGTAAGAACAGGTTAGCTTCAGCTATGAATCCCGTCTACAGCCCTGTTCAGCCTGGCACCCCATATGGAAACCCTAAGAACATGGCCTTTGCAGGTAAGACACACACACACACACACATCATATCTACTACTATGACCTGTAAGTGACAAACAATACTGCTGCTGAGTTTTGAGTTTGAGTCAGTGTGACTATGTGCTCTTTTTAAAACACTGCATATTTGTAATGATTCATAATTAAAAAACAGACATTTACTTCCATTATATTTTTATTAATTCAATATTGGTAATAAATACAAGAGATGCGTCAACTGGAGGGTTACATTTCCCAGCATTGCAAAGAGAACAAACAAGAAAATAAATAAAATTGGGCCCTTAGCAGCATCCTTGCAGTAAAAGCACAGAATTCGGCATGTTCTGAAGCATTTGACATTATTCACTAATAAATAATATAGACTTCTCCATGACTTAAGCTTTGGTTTTGTTGTAGAGTATCGCTGTGTCCATATAAAAGATAGATTATGTATTTCTGTTCCAAAAGCGTGCAACATAGCACAAAAGCTCCAGTTCTCAATGACCGAGACCTTTCAAGAGTGAATCGCGATGCATCTAAGATTAGATTCTTTCCCCCACCCCTAGTTAGTGTTATTCTAGCTAAGTTAATTTTTTTGTTGTTTTTGGTTAATTTATCCCAAAACTAGTATAGGTGTAGGTCAGTAGTGCTGCACTGCCACACCGCACAGTAACACCATGCTGCCAACAACACCGGGTTCTAAATGCATATTATTATGGGGCACCTTTAGCTTACAAGATACAAAATGTGTTGGTGTTTGAAATGAATTGCACCATCATATGCAAAAATAATGGAAAGACCACAGACAATCTCTGTTTATCCCCAAAGTCTACAGAATGTGTTTCAGAGAGAGAGCATTTGAACAAAGTTTTTAACATTTTGAGCCCAACAAACGACATATGATTGCTGCAAATAGAAAAGACAGTTTACAGAAAAAGGATAGACGGTGTTGAATGAGGTTCGAGGAATGACGGAGATGACGGTCACCAAGAAAGATGGAAGAGCAAAAGCAGTCATTCTCTGGGGTCGTAATGAACATAAGCCGTTTGAGGTCAGACGTGTAAATGAGGCAAAGTCAGAGAAGCAGAAACTCAGCAGAGTAGCTTTGCATTTTGACATCCAGGTCAGCTGGTTAAATTTGTTACATCACGCTGTGTTATGCCACAAAAAGACGGCCTCTTGTGACATAATTTTAACGTGATGTGGGAGCATGAAGCTGGGCTAATCTGGCTGCTCCTTTATGTCCTTTCAGTTCCTTTCTCTCCATCCTTTTTGAAGAGTTTGCATATCAAAGTTGCCTGCAGGAATGATGCATGTTTAGATGATGTAATCACCAACAAGCTGCACACACATTAAAATGAATATATATATTTTATGCATTAAAATGAGAGTATTTGTGTAGCTTACAGTTATGTGCTTCCATGGGAAGACGCGCGCGCACACACACACACATGACAGTCTGAGGAGCAGCTTGTTTTTCAGGGATTATTTTCTGAGACTTATGCAACAGAGTAGAGCGAAACGTTGTTGTGGTTCAAATCTTGGATGAATAATTTAGTCGGTTTCATTAACAAAATCACTTTTAGGAATAGACTTATTTCCTGGTTGGTGTATTTTAGTCTCAATTTTAAGGAGCATTATATTTTTAGGTTATTAGGTTTGTTTGTAAACTATGTTTAATGTTTGTTACTTAGGTTTATGTTACTCAGGTCAACATCTGACATTATTGTGAAAGAAACAAAGTTAAAAAATATTAAATTTCTGAGGTAAGGATGGTGCGTTTAATTCAAGATATGCAGTCAAGTACTGATTTAGCTTTTTTTGTTTCAAAAAGCAAATGCTAATATTTGTGCATCTAAGGAGCAGTAGCTCTTAAGTATCACACTTAAACATTTTGTTAATACTAATAGTTCAGTGAGTTTTTATAGGGATGTAACATCTGGTTTGTTATCATTTAATGAAAAGTTCTGAATCTATTTATATGAACAATTAATTGAACAACTCTCCAGACATTCTGTTCCAAACCTCTAGAAGCGTGCAGTGCTGCGTCAAACAGAGAAACGCAGCAAAAGCTGAAATGAAAGGATGTTTATTTCACATCACTAATATTTGTCAGTTATCGAAATTGTTGTCCACTAAGTTTGTCGACTGACCATTTGATCAGCCAACATTTTCAGCACTTATTGTGACCGTTATGGAGATTTAGGCTCAATTCAAAATGTAATGATTTTTTTTTTTTTTTAATTAGTTTTTATTTACTTAATCTATAATAAAAACATATTGAGCTGAGCACAGATTGACTAACCATCCCGACCCTCCGCTGCAGCGTAGACCGATGCCGATGTTTATTAAAGCGGTTACGTGTGAGCGGCCCGCCCTACAGCAGCCAGAGCTCCATATAGCCACAGAACAGAGTCTGTGAGATCGACGGCCAATAACAGCGAGCAGTGAGCAGCACTCCGCTCACTTACCGCACCGTCTCTTTAACTCTCCTGCGTTTCTCCTCCCTCCCTCTTTGTCTTGCTTCGAACTCGCACCTTTGTTTGCGCGACGTGTAATTGACGACGTGTGTGTGTGTGTGTCTGCTTGCATTACTAATGTGTTGCTGAATTTATCTCCTCCCACGCCATATTGGCAGGTGTGTCTCGTCTGTATGTAAGATGCATTCAGCCGACTGTGTTATTGGTGCAAACATTTTTTTAATGAGCGCCGTCTGTGCACATCCTGTTCTAAACCAAATTGTGTGTGTGTGTGTGTGTGTGTGTGTGTGTGTGTGTGTGTGTGTGTGTGTGTGTGTGTGTCTTTGTTATGTACATCTGTGGCTCTCTGCGTTTGTTCAGATATGGTTTCTGATATGTTCTCTCTCGTCTGTGATGTTCTTCAGGCTATCCAGGAGGGTATCCTGCCGCGGCTCCCACCTATACACCCAACCTTTATCAAACAGGCAGTCCTGGGTATCCACCAGGTGAGCCCTAACGCACACACACACAAACCATTCAATGACTTTGTTTACATTGAACAATGTAATGTCTTGGGAGAAATTGCTTGTCAGTACACTGCATTTTTCTGGGAGTTAATTAGCGGGATGTTTGTCAGTTTTCCAGGGAAAAACCATCAGAGATAAACACAGTGAGTGTGAGGGATCCATTGAAGTTTTATGTAAAGGTTGACACACAGACACATGCAGATGATTGCACATCATTATATATGATTCTGTTTCCTATTTATCTTTTGACTTGCACAATACGATAAAGAGAAATGTAAAGACTACAGAGCGAAATGTAAGGAGTTGAAACACGTGGAAAGAATCTTACGATATAAACAAACAGAGCCAGAAAGCCTAGAGCGTTATTACGTCGCTCCCATTGAGAGTCAAACATCACATTTCAGTTGGTAAACGGCAATAATGCAATAAATCATCTGTGCAAACTTGACAGTACAATACTGTTACAGATGTAAATTCAAAATACAACGGAAGCTGCTTCTAGTGATCATGTTTACAGTGATTAACCGCTTATATGGGTAAAGAACCTGGAATTATTCCTATACAAATGCTGTTTAAATAATTTGCTTATAGTAATGAAGTAGTCCTCTTATAGTGTTCATTTTGGGACTTTTCATACATGTAATTCTACAGTAATGCATTTTTTTTTTTCTTCCCTTAACTCCCATGGTATTTTGCCTCACGCTAACCCGGCTGCTTCCTGCAGGCTACCTGAAGCTGTTGCTGTGTGGTAAAGATAATAGTTTTAATAATCATCCGCTTATAGTGATTTAATTTGACCCAGACAGACGTGATCACTACAAACAGTTTCCACTGTAAAACCAAATGCAGACTAATGTATAAATAAAGAGGAATGTTTTAAGTGTATAAACTCTGGGTGAAAAGTTCACAGAATTATTAGTAGAGATTGAGTTTCAGATTCTAAGACCTCTGAAGATAGCTTTTAATTGTAAATGCTGCCAAGTCTGCTGAAATAATGATAAATTATGTTTTTGATATAAATATGTATAAAATGAACAGCCTTGAACGACCAATAGATGTGCCACCATTTTATCTTAAATAACTTCCATAAATATGTTTCTGATGAGTAATCATTCAGTTCACACTGTAAAGTGTTTGTATTTAATTACAGTTTGTCAGTGTTTAGGTTCATGCTGGGAAATCACTTAATGTGTTGAATAAATTACACATTTAAATTTGAAATCAGATGATCCTACAACTGCTGATCCACCGAGCTGTAATTAATTCATGCTCGATTGATGCGTACGACACCTAAAACAAAAAACGTTTCCACACATTTTTAGTAAAAAGTTTTATTGTGAAATACTACAATCACTCGCGCTTTATGATAGAATATTTTGAGCAAAGAAGCTTGTTGCAGTGATGTGAAGGCAGTGTGGACTGAGTGGTGATCTCAGCCTAAAGGGCACTGATGGTGAAGGAGAGGGAAGCTAGCCGCTAACAGCTGCCAGTAGCCGTATAGCAGCAGAGACGTGCTCAGCTGGGGCTCACGGTCTGGTCCCCGTAGCAGATGGAATAACAGTTGTCTCAATGCTCTCCAGATATGGTGCGTCTGTATAGATGTAGATTAAGTTCAGTGTGGCCGGGTCTTGAGCGGTTCACTCTAGAAACACAGACTGGAGTTGTTCAAAGATCAAGCTTGTGTCTTAAATGAAACTTCTTTTTGGTAGTGACTTCAATTGGCAAATAAAATTTCGGCAATCGGTTGAAGGCCATGTCGGTATGATCTTTGATTTACCTGATCTTAATAGTTTTAAGGGACCTCAGATGAATTACCGCCGTCTCTTTCTCTCTATTAAAAGCAGGTTATAGGACGGCTTCTTTTCTTGCTTGACTACAGTTATTTAGGTTTTATGAATTATCAGGCAGGTATCACAATTTAAGATTTGAAAGCACAAAACAACAAATTGTTGTCCAGTTCGTTGCTGAGGAGAAAGGGAAGGGCTTATATATAATGTCAAACATCTGGTATAATATGAGTGAAATTTTGCTTAAACATTTTGAAAGTATTAATTACTATCAATTGACAAAAGATAGTATTTTCTGAACGGGAGGGGAATAACTACTCAAATAGTATTCTCCTGAATGTTAAGTATCTTACTGAGGCAGGGTGTGTTTGTAGATTTCGTCTGGGCTGCTTTTGAACCTCCTCTCTGCTCGTCCCCTCCCCCAGTTTGGTTTTATCTTTTGGAAGTCTAACAACATATCAGGTATGCGTTGGCAAACCTCACCCAGCTTCCTTCCAACAAAGGAGCCTAATTATTGAAGTGTTTTTTTTTTTTTTTTTTTTTACATCTGCGGTGGTAATATTTAACTGCACATTTAATTCACTGCGTTCTGCAGTGCTTAACGTATGCTGAAATCAAAAGTCTTTAGATTTTGTGTCCCAGACAAACATCAACTTCCAGACAAGCCCGCTACGCTCTGATTTAAAAACCTGTCTTTGGACAATGTCATTATGTCTCATGACCATGGAATAGACGAACCGTTTTCTATCAGCAGGGTTTTTGTGCAATTGTCACACACCATTGTCCTCTAATGCGCAGCAAACGTGTGTGTTTGTGTGCGCATACTCACACACACACTATCAGAAGCACATAGCAGCCCCAGCATCTCTTTGTTCCCTTGTCCTTGTGTGAGAGAAGGGCTTTCATAAGCTCCACAGCAGCAACTAGCAAGTAGCATGTTTGACCTTCAGGCTCCTCCCAGTGGCAGCTCAGCAGTACTGCAGCCCACAGAGCAGAGCCCAGATAACGTTAATGCAGCGGTCTGAGCCAGATGCCTTCACTGTCCGACAGTGAACCTTGTGCTTTTCAACCTTCTGAGGTAGTGTCATAAGAGTAGTGTTCAATGGTGGTTTCATTTAAATCCTGTGTGCCACTAATGTTGGTTGCTTGACTGTATATTGTCCATAAAAAAAGGTGACGATGCTCCCTGTACGTTGACTTCAGAGCTACGCTCTTGCAGTATGCAACACAGTAATGCCAGCTTCAAACATCGTGGTAATATTTGACTTTTGACTCACACTTGGCTTGCATTGTTTTGAGACTTCAGACCCATTAAAAGACGGCACCAGTCCCCCATCTGGTGGGTTATGTAGGAAACGCAAAAGAGAAAACATCTGAATGAGGCTGCAACTAATGAATATCGTTTGATCTATAATTCATCATAAAAGATAGTTTTGTCCAAGCAGCAACAGATCAGATTCCCAAAATATAAAATGTCACTCTAATGTAAGACCAGAGGAAGCAGCCCAGTGGAGAAAAGTTACTAAACTGTTAATTAATCTGCAACCATTGTGATAATCGATTAACTGTTTGAATGTTGATGTAAATAATTAAATGAAGGATGTTTTTGAGACACTAATTTGGTTTTGCTACAACCCCAAATTAGAGTATTTTGATTCTATCTTTTGTCTATTCATGACATCCAACTGATGTTCAGTTAAGAATGACCCGTCAGTGATTTGTGCCAACTTGAAGCTGCTATAATCAACATGTGTTTACTAACAATAGATCACATGTATACTTGTGTGTTAGTGGTCGACTGTAGAGAATTATCCTCCGTGATGCAATGATTGATGTTGCTTTATCGTTATATATTTCTAAATCCTTCTCTCTGCTCTTTTCCTTGTGATGGTTTTTTAGGATATACTTCAGCAGGCACCCAGTACAAAGTGCCCCCCACTCAGTCAAATGGAGCGCCCCCTCCCTACACCCCCACTCCCACCCCATACCCAACAGCCATGTACCCCATCCGCAGTGCCTACCCTCAGCAGAACCTATACACACAGGTAAGGATACTGAGTTACAACTGACATTACCCCGAAGACACACTCTGTACTCTGGTTTAATCTAAGTGACGGGTTGTTTGTGGGAACGTTAATATGATTCACACCAAATAATCAACTAGGTCTCATAGTCTCAATGAGCTCCAGAAGTTAAACTCTCAAACAAACCTGGGACCTAAAAGTCAATTCAGTTTGCGTTCCCACAGAAAAACGTTGGTGATTGAGCAAATTAAGCCGACTACAGATTAAAGCAGTTGCTCTGTTAGAGATGCAGTTACACCGTCACAAGTCAACAGCAACACCATCATTTTGTTCTTTTGTAATTTGTTCTTTTTAATTTGGGGGTGTAGAAGCAGGACGATGAGTTTTCTGTCTACTTTACTTGTTCCTGCAGTGGAGAATGATTCCCGAGTACTTAAACCTTCTTCCTTCGCAGCTCCTTCAAGTGAATTAAAACATTTAAATGTTACAATAAGCTTTTATTTGTCTCGCACAAATGCCCACCCTCAGCTTCACCAAACTCTTCCCCACCCCCCGTGTCCGTCCTGACAGGGAGCGTACTACACCCAGCCGGTGTATGCGGCTCAGCCGCACGTGATCCATCACACCACCGTGGTGCAGCCTAACAGCATCCCCTCCACGGCCCTCTACCCGGCCCCCGTCCCCGTACAAGCTCAACGCAACAACGGCATGGCTGCCATGGGGATGGTAGCTGGCACAACCATGGCCATGAGTGCAGGTAAGAGAACCACCGGGACCCCGAAACGTTTGTTTATGACCGCGTTCAGACACGACCTGCTGGCTAATGCCTGTGATGTCGTCGCTGTAATCTGTAATTTGATCATCAATTAGATTGTGATTTTTAAGCGGAAATCGCAGAAATGATCTCTTTTGACGATATCAAATGTGAATGTTTTCTGAGTTTCTTCTTCTTCAAAGATAGGAAAGTGAATATGTTTGGGCTTTGGACTGAATAAAACACATTTTCAGCCACCGTCAAGAGTATTTTGGGCATTTATTTTGCAATTTGTTGCCATTTCGTGGACCATCAATTGATTGAGATCATTGGAGTAATCAATAATGAAAGTAAATTGGTTTCTTGGATCCATTCGGTTATTATTCGGACTGCTAACAGAGTGGAAAACCTGATAAAAATATACCAAAATACTTGAAGGAATTTAAATAAGGTGTCTCATCAACATGCTGACCTGAAAGTCATCATGTACAATGACCACATCTACAGCCACAAACCTCCATCGTTGTTCAGCAGATGTATTTTAAAAATGACTCACTGATGTTGTTGTTTACTTCCTGTAGGGACCCTGTTGACAACGCCCCAGCACGCCCAGATCGGAGGACACCCAGTTACTGTGCCAACCTACAGGCCCCAAGGGACACCTGGGTACAGCTACGTACCGCCCCACTGGTAGAGCCCACCCATCATGTGAGTCACAACTGCCCCCCCTCCCTCGCCTTCTCATCGCTCTTTTTTTAGACGTGAGCACACTCTGCTGCCTCACAGTTCTTATTCCCTCTGAGGTCTGAGGCATCCATCACTAAAGGTGTACCTCTGCTCTTCTTCTCCTCCCACCAGATCTGGAGTCCACCATTGTATGCAACTGCTCAAATCTTACACGGGCTCCCAATGGTAACCATGGGAACTCGGCACCTGTCTGCAAGAACAAAACTAAAGTGCAACAGCCACTTTACTATTATTGTTATTGTTAGTATGCGACATTCTCTAACGTTTTTACAAAAAGCTGCTTTTATTTTTCTCTGTTCATTTGCCAACCAGTCATTATCTTGTTTTCTATGGTTTGTTTTTAGTTCTTATTTTTATCTCCTCATCTTTTTGTTTTTATGTGTCTGTCATTGGAACTCCAGAAGGACTCTTGACCAATCACGGGTGTCAGTTGCTCCTGTTTCTGTGTTGTGCTGGTGTGTGTGTGTGTGTGTGTGTGTGTGTGTGTGTGTGTGTGTGTGTATGTGTGTGCGTGTGTGTGTGGTCCTTCCTGCTGCTGCTGCTGCTGCTCAGTTGGCTGGAATATATTGGGCACTTATTCCTCGTTATCATCTCCGTCAGTCACTACAAAGACTTATTGACTTAAGCTGCCAAAGTTTTAACAACTAGATATCAGCACAGGGTTTTAACATTAAGAGCAATTTAGCTTTCTGGGTTATTTAAGTTTTTATATCCTTCTTTCTTTTGACCACATTCAACTGAATTACTTTTTTCTACCTTTTTGTTCTTCCTTCGTCTTTTTCCTTTTTACCCTTTTTTTCCCACTTCTTGTTTTCAGTTTTAACCTCAGTCGTCTTCCAGCGCGTAGCTGTCCGTCTGGCAGTAGTCAGTCCATCGTCCCCGTCGTTACATCTCCACGTGGGTGCTATGAGCAGAGCACTTACTGACCATTACCCATCCTGCTGCGTGTCCCACTGTGTCCACATCGCACACATGAAGACAACATCACTGCCTTCATGCTACATACTATGCAGGCTAGTATGTTGTGACACTATCGGAATCTTAACATTAGCGTAGGTCACTGCGTTTAGAAAATGTAAGAATATTTATAAGAACCGTGTCAACGGCGTTGGGTGGTCATGCTCACTTTCACGCACGCACACATACACACACACAGGGGCTCCTGTGGTGCGTCGGAAAACACACGATCTCTTAGTGGCACTTACTGCACAATGCCTTCCAGTTAGGTTGTTACTGATCAACACACACACACATGCATGACATGGATTTGTAGGGGCGGGCGTGGCAGACAGCAGCAGAGAAGGAGTTTAAAGGGATTGTGTTGCCGCAAAGAGAGGAGGGAGGGACAAGACGGGGAGATCAGACAACGAGGAGGGAGGGAGGAAGGGAGGAGGAGGAGATAACATATTCACAGTCAGGTCCGTTCCTGTCAAAGGTACAAGACATTTGAGTTTGTGCCATTTTGCACTACTTGCATTGTACATTGATTCCTCACTGCGATTACACCGCCTCCTCCTTCCTTCTTCCAGGCAAGGACTTTGTAACCAAACACTCAGCAAATAGAAACCCAGACTCTTGAGCATACAGGTATCGATGGACCAGTCCAATACACGTGTGCCGGTAGATGGATAGAGTTCAATCCACAAGTCCATTCCACAGTTTGTGCGAGTGCTGAAAACACCAAACCAATGGCGTGTCGTTGTGCACCACATTTAGGAAGAAGTTGTGGCCGATCAGAGGATGTTGACGTGTGTCCATGTCATAGTGATGATTAGGTGTTCTCTGAATTTGGGTTAACATTTTAGCTTAATACATGCGGATTGCAGGAGGACTCAAAAAGGTGCTGGTTTTAGTGTTCATGGCTAGTTTAAGACATTTCGGATAATTTAGCGAGTGTGCAGAGCCGTGATGACGTGTTGTCACTTCAGTCCAGTTGACTTTTGAGACTTTTAGCAGTTTTATGAAAAGATGAATCCATGTGTCTATTTTTATTTTGTTTGTTCACATTTCTGGAAAAGACGCATATCTGCTTTTACTGACTGCATTTTAAACATAATTCTCCGTTTAAAAAAAAATAAATAAATAAAAAGTATCCAGCATAACCTTGATTGTCATCAGATGAGGATAATTGAGCCAATGAGACGTGGAGCATATACAGCCATTCTCTCTTGCCTTCTTATTCTCATACATGTAAAGGCAGTATGACGACCCATTCTAACACTACAAACATACCAAGTAGTGGTGGTGGGGTTTAATATTTAGGTAGTAATGTTATTATTTCAGGATTTACACACAAAAAAAAGACGACTTCATGATCAGTAGAGTACAGATTTGTATAACAAAAGCATTTACTGTGTGGGTATATAGATGAAGTGGTTTGATATTGCAATAAAATAAAGAGGGAACGCCTCCAGCTGTTCACAGACACTAATTATCAGCGTCTTGAATTGATTTTGTTTTTTAATGCTTATTATTGTAATCTTTAAATATGGATTACAGGCTCTGTATGCAGCCTCCATTCAATAATTATTACAGTTACTGCTAAGAAGTGAAGTAGAACATATCAAACATTTGGGTATTGAATAACTTTGTGAGGGAATATTGCACAACTTAATACAAAAAAAAAAAAACTTGATGACTATAATGTAACGCTAAGTAAGAGGTACCTAGGCTTTGTAGTGCAGGAGGGAGGAAGAAGCAATTTATATTGTAATTACAAATAAAACAATAAGGTTGTTTGAGGTATTCTTAGTCCAGATGTTTGTACACTAGTAGGTTAATTCTGCATAAAGCCGCTGTCGGATGAAAACCGCCCCTTGTGTTTTAGGAGGTAAAGTGGTTCAATATTATCGGGTCGTACGTGTTCCCACCACCTAAACGCTCTTGTACATTTGAATTAAAGCCAGTTAAAATTGAAAAGAATCCAGAAAGTGTGTTTTCTTGCGACAGCAGTGATGTTCCTCATCATTAGGATTTATTTAACCAACCACTACTTCTGTCAGTATTTCTCAATCAAGTCTTACGGGGTCATTTTCTTCTTTCACTCTGGTCAATTGAGCGTAATGGGTATGCATACTATTCAGGTGTATTTCACTATAGCATTGGATCTCTAAGTTTAACAAAAAAAAAAAAAAAACGCAGTATATTTATACAGCAAGTGGTACAGTAATGTATTTCTAGCTAAGCATGGTTGCATCAGTGTGGCAGCTACTGTTTGTGCTTTTAATATATCTATATTTTGACCTCTCCTGCATCTCTGTCCTCTACATATCGGTCGCTGAGAAGGGGGGGGGGGGGGGGGGTTGAGACGAGGTCTGTCGACAAACTTGTGGAAATTCCCGTCACCAAATCCCACGTTTTTAAGTGTTGCCTGAACTTACAGACCTCGAGAAAGCAGCGGATTAATGACGGAACTGAAATGGACACGTGCTGTTTGTTTCTGTTCTGTGGATGTAAAGAACGATGAATGGAAACCCTCAGCCTCCATGCCCTTTGTGCTGTGCCATATTTCACACGACCGTTAAGTAAATATTAGTTTCTTCTCCTAAGTAACTGGTGAATTCTGAGTCCTCGTTATGTCTAGCTTCCTGTGAATCTGTGTTTTCCTGTTACTGTCCTAATCCCTTGATGCGTATTGCCTTTTTCTCAATTTTACCTTTCTTACTGTATCCTCTCTGTGTTTATCCTATTTTTACCTCGGAGGCCATTTTGCATCCCTCCAGCCATTCAAACGTTCCGTTTGCAGTTCATGCAGGGATGCAAAATGACGTTGGATCCTGTGTTCTGCTCCTTTAACACTCTGCTCTGTGGTTTCTGGTCTTCATGTGCTATCAGTCTGACTTTTGCAAACCTCACCACCCCGTCTCAGTAGCAGTCATATTGAACTCTATTATCCTCTATTTTGTTTGGTAATTGGTAAATCTCCACTGAGCCTTTTTAAACACTAGATGTCACCCGTGACAAAGTCTGGAAGTGGCATCACGTGTTCAAGGCTTTGAGCCAAAACTTTAAATGAATAATTTATGAGTGTCATTTACATCTTAGAGTCATAATAGGGCGTCATATTTTGAGCACTGCGATTTATTTTATTTTCCAAATTTAGACTTTCTCAATGCCCTTTTTAGACAACAAATACGTTTTTATTTGATTGCTATTAAGAGATTTTCTTGGGCTGTGGACCAATGCTCTTAAACACTACTCTACACTACTCGGTAGAGAAGCAGACCCACAGAGCATTGGGGGTAGTTCAAGTAAAAGATGGTGGAACTGCTTCTTCTTCATTTCACCTCATTCCTTGCCTCATTTGTTTCAATTTGCACTTAAGTGAAAATGGACAGTTGGACACTCTGGTGTGTTTGTTTTGGGAGGGGGGGTGCAAAGATGTCTTTTATCATCTTTTTATTTTCCTGCGTCACTCTGTCGGCTTTGACATGTTTAAAGATTGAAAGGTGGTAACTTTAATGTAACCAGAACCATTCATAACATCTTTCCTCTCTCCCATCTTCCCCCTCTCCCCTTTTTTTTTTTTTTTTTTTTTTTTTTTTTTTTTTTTTTTTTTTTTTTT